GTATGTATGTATATATATATATTTGTGTGTGCATTTATGTATGTATGTACATACAAACACATCTATATATATGCATGCATGCATGCATGCATGGATGGATGGATGGATGGATGGATGGATGGATGTACGTACGTACGTGTATGTGTATGTATGTGTACATATATATAATATAATATATATATACCATATATATATAATATAATATATATATATATATATAATATATATATAATATATAATATATATATACACATACAATAGATGCGCACACACTTCTTCATTACCTGTCCCGAATGTACAGAACTGCGTTTTCAGCACCCCATCTATATTTGCTGATGCTTGGTAACTTATGTAGTCTGAGGTGAACCTTGCGGGGTCTACACTTGAAGCTGTCTGCGGCCACGAAGCAAAGCCTCGCAACCATGCTCGGATCCCTGCATGTTGCCTGACAATGAAAGGCTCAACAATTTAGGGATAACGGCCTTCTCGTGGCGTCGTTCACGTCACATGTTGGGAATCCTTATGTTTCTGGTTCCCTAGATTAGCCGAATTCATTACGGCCTGCGCGGCCTGGCAGCATTGAGTCTGCATACGCATGCGCGGGTGTGCAAAACTGAGACGCCCTGAAGCTTTGAATGGCATTTTGTCCTTCCAGACTACACTGGCAAGAAAACAAACAACAAGTCGCCTGCACCATGGCGTGAACGCGCGATTTCATGTCCTCACAGACTCCGAGATCACCCACTCGCTTCTGAAGGCTTTGCTTCCATTCTCCGAAGAGCTCCAAGTCAGCGGGACTCACATCTATTAACAAGTATACCTAGACGAATAATATTCCCTCACAACCCCAAATCATCAGCCCTATTCATGCACGGGTCGTGGGACTTCGTACGTGGTATGACCATAGTATTACCAAGCCATCGCGCTTTGTGTGAGGGTGTGATTGTCCCAGGCTAGGCATGGGACAGAGGCCGAACCAGTCCACAGCAAGACGGGCGGACTATGTCAGCGTCCATAGCAAATCTAAGCGTCGCCCCAGGCCAAACCCTGCAAACCCGTAGAACCGGCCTTCCCCTAAACCCTAAACTCTTCACCCCGAAGCCTTCTAGATTCTAGGCCTTCGGCCCTAAACGCCAAATCCCACACCCTGCACCCGTAAAGCCTGAACCCTAAACCCTACATACCGGGCTTCGCCATGACTCCGCCTCCTCCATCGGCGAGATGACGCGGAAGGCGCTGAAGAGACCTGCCGCAGGTTCTGCAGCCTGCGCTATGATAAAGGTTTGTTCTTAGTAGTAAAGTTATGGACCATCATAAGTTTTGATACATTGAAAGGTATAACAACGATGTATGATAATCATTAAGTATAATCAAAAGGGATTTCGAGGGAAGAGGAAATAGTATTACATATTATAGTTATACTAGTTCGCAAAACTATGAGTCTTACAGTCCCAAATGCATAATTTACAGCAAGGGCCAAATCCTGAGTTTAGGGTTTGGGGTTTCGGGTCTTAGAGCTTGGGGTTTTAGTGGCTAGAGTAGGGGTTTAACACTCACTTGCAAGAGTCTGCAATCTTCACGGTCCCAGAGGCCTCCATGTCGCATAGCCATGGGACGGAGGCACCACGCAGACTGGATTCCCAACTGAGGCTACGATGGCAAGGCTCGCTGGGTCCCTTGCGAGGCACCCGAGCAGGCCCCCCGCATGCCATGAGTTCCGGTTTTAGGGTTTAGGGGTTTAGGGACTAGAATCTCCACAAAAATGAGTGTCTGTGTGTGCGAACGAATTATTTCCAGGTTTTAAAGTCATGTTGTAAAGGCCCCTCAAAAGTCCCATTATTTGATACCCACACTATTCGAAGCCTTCCCAATCATCCCAGTATACCTTTAACCTGAACCCTTAACCCCAACCCCAACCCATCCTAAACTTAATCCCTAACCATCCTAGATCTTAAACCCGTCCTGGACTTCAAAGAACCTACCTTTTTCGGGCTCCTCATTATCATTTCCATATAGAAGTCCTTAAAAAGGCAGGCTCTTTGGGGTCAAGGCTTATGTAACCCCAAACCCAGGAGCCCTTTAAACCCTTATGTAACCCTAAACCCTAAGCCCTAAATCCTAAACCCTAGACCCTAAACCCTAAATCCTAATTCCTACACCCTAATTAAGCCCTCCCTTGTTGCAAGCCCCAAACCCATGAGCCCTCCTCCTCGGTGCCAGGAGCAGAGCCTGGAAGAGTTCCGGAGCAAATGGGAGCCGCTCCCCGACGCGGGCAGCGATTCCATAAAGGAACCCCCACGGGGTTTAGGGTTTTAGGGTTTTAGGGTTTAGGGCTTAGGGTTTAGGGTTTAGGGCGCACATATAAGATTCTAAGATGATCACAGGGTTTAGGGTTTAGGGGTACCCCAGCATTGCGACGTGCAATTTCAGACTGCGCTGCTGCACTTCGAAATGGCACGCCTGGTATCGCGGAGTTCCTGAACACTTAATATCTTTTTTGCTCTGCGTTGGGACGTCCCAACCTGAAAAAGAGGCAATTCCGGCATGCCCTGAGATTGAGAGCCCTTAAAAAAGCCTTGAATTGAACATTCAAAGGAACCTTTAAGAGATTGAGAGCAGATGTGACATCTTCGATCCAGCTCAGCCCTGAGTCCCTTAAACTCGAGCTGGAAAATTTGCATTCTTTGGGGCAATTACAGCGTCGGCCGGAAAATCTTGTTTCAGGGGTGCAGGGTTTAAGGTTTCGGGATTTGCTGCCCATAGCCATAGCATACAGCACAACCCGGCTTGAATTCCAAATCTTTCTCAGACCCTGTCCCGGAAAATGCTTCATGTCTGAGAGTTGGGTCTCTTGCTTCCAGGACTTCCGCCGAACTTTGGGTTTCGGGATTCTGGGTTTCTAGAGGGTCGAAAGTGCCATGATTCAGGATTGAGAGGAACAGAGTGTCTCAGAGCGGTTCCCTAAATTAAGGGCCCTTGCCCTTGATGGATCCCCAAAGAAGTACACATTAAAATTACCGTTGGATAACTCGATATACACCTCGAGTCAAGTGAAAATGGCCACGGCGACTGGACCCATGTGCAGGCATGCGTGTGAGCTTTCGTAGGTTCACTGGGGCGGGGTTATCCAAGCATGGCCCCCAAGAAATCCAGTGGCCGTTGCTGGACAGGACTACTACTTCAGCTCCTATGCAGCCAAGCTTGAATCAATGCCGAGTGGGTTCGCGTGAAATAGAAAATCAGTTCAGCGAGTGCTCGAGCGTGGTGTCCGTGTTGGCATCCTTAATCCTGTTCAGGCACGTTTCGGCATCCACGAGGATATGCTGAAGGACCCTAGCGAGGTTTAGCATTAGCGGCTCGAGCCTATGCGAGGAGGGCGTTGAAGCCCTTCTCCCTTCCGCGGTGAATGCGACGTGGTCGAGTGCCTTTGGAATCTGCACCTGCTTTCAGGACTGCGTCCGCACCAGTGGCTACATGAATGCCATCAGCAGTGCCAAGGCAGTCGATGTCTTCACGGTGTCAACATGCAACGCATGCAAGTGCTAAACATCACGCAAGGGAATGAGATGTAGGGTTGATACTGTACTAGGAGCTGTGGGTTAATGTCACAGTCCCTCCATGTCCCTCCTCCAAGGCATTGTTTCACGGAAAGACGGTGCTGGACGTCGGCGCAGGTAGTTGGGCAAGAAAGTTTTGATCAGAGCGTGTACATGTCAGTTGAAGGTGTGTTGCTTGACTTGAGTCGGCATGGAAACCGAAGCTTGAAGAGTCTTGGTGGGGATCTTTGCTTCCTCAGCTTGAGTCTTCAAGCTGCTTCGCGAATGAGGTACGGGCATTCTATCACTGTTTGCCGCTCGCGCGGGTGCGGCGCGGGTCGTGGGCATCGAGTGCTCCAACATTGCGAGCTACGTGCGAGGCTTATTTCGCATTGTTGGCTTCCCTTCATGTGCGAGGCATTGTCGAGTGGGCATGCAGGCGTGAGGAGCCTCCGTGCACTTCACAGTCTTGTGGCAAGCCCTGCAGAACCTCTGCTAAACACCATTCAAGACTCCTCCAGAAAAAAAATGGGGCGAAGCAGATTCAGATCGTTTTCTCAATTGAAGCGTGAGGCAACTGAGATCGCTCGGCGAAATGGCTTCGGCGAAGTCATCACCTATGTCCAGGGCAAGGTCCGGTGGGTTGCCACTGGCGGCCTCCAGGGTTGTCCAGGAGATGCTACTAGCTAGGGCAGCTAGGGCAACTGCAGGAGGTGGATCTGTCGGCAGAGCTTGTACTGAATTTGCGGAGCAGCACAGGAAGTACGTCCTTGAGGATGTCTCTTGGTGATGTTCCTGCTCATCCGGGGTTAGTCGTACTTCTTCTTTCACTCGGTCCGTGTAGAGGGCTTCGTCGCATACACCGCAATATGCATGTGTATATAGATAGATAGATAGATAGATAGACAGACAGACAGACAGATAGGTACAAACACACACACACACACGTTTCACTCGCATAGTTGGACACGCCTACACACAGATATTAAGAGAGATGGATAGATAAATGTGATGTATGCAGCTGCATGCATCGGGCGGGCGATGGGTAGGTAGCTATGCAGGTAGCTATGCCGTCTGGGTAGCTAGGAGGTATGCATGCATGCTGGAATGCACAGAATTCCTGTACCTGCAGCTTTTGCAGTCGGGTCTTCCCAGGTCGAAGAAGTCGAGATCCCCGTCGACAAGGTGGACATCATCGTCTCGGAATGGATGGGCTGCTTGTCCAGGCTACTCCGTCATTTCTCGGCTGCACCTTCCAGGGAGGACTGCTCCGCGCTCCCATCAACACCACTCTGACCTGCAAATCCACGGTGTAGCAGAGTCACCACGTTCAGACTATTTGCCTTGGATTGCTTGATTGGTTTTCGTGGCCGGGAGGGCCTGCAGCACTGGTTTAGATCCTGTTGTCGCTAGCCGAAGCTGACATGGTTGATGGCTCACTCTTTGTGGTGCTGCCGTCGTTGAACCAAACTTTGCAAGTGCCACAGAAGCCACAAGTGACAGCTAAGGTTACTTCCTGATGTTTGCCGCTTGGATGCCACAGCTTGATTGAGTTCGCCATCTGATCTGAATTCTAGCCCCCTTGCCCCAGATCGGAAGCATCGCAATTCATAGCGCAAATCATGCATGTGTTCCTAATGCCGTGTAATATTGTCTGGCCTCAAAGCATCTCTGCTCCTCAGCTGTTGCAGTGAAAGCACGTACTTGTACGTCAGGTGATGTAGCATGGAACTGTTAGACTGTGCCCGTTCGCGTATAGCATTCAGGGACGGGCATTCGTACATTCATGCGCGGCTTTGCTTCGGGCCTTCCTTCCTTGCCCCCACCGACGCCAGAGCCCGGGATTCTCAGCCACGCATGTCATTCCACTAGTGATGTTTACTGATTGAACTTCCGAATCCGGACCACTCCTGCTTCAATGCTTCACCTCCAACGCAAGCTCTGGAAGCAAACAGCCACGCCATGAGAGTCACCTGCACGTGAAGCCAAGCAGAGTTGTCTCGCAGTGTTATCGCCCAGCGGAGAAGTGTAAGCTCGCTACTCGCAGAAAGTCTCGAAGACCCCAAGCGTTGAGCAACCTTTCGGGTTGTCAAACAGAGGATCGTCTGCATCTTCACATGTGCGACAGAGGCCAACATGTGTTCGAAAGGCATGCCAACCCCAGGTCTGCACCCGTCAGAGACCCCAAACGCCTAAACACTAAACCCACGTCCCCTGATTTCTTTCGCGTTCCCAGATGTGGATTTCCAGAGAGCCCTGAGGAGTCGATGCTGGACAGCGTCCTCTTTGCCCGGGATAAATGGCTGAGACCAGGCTGGGTTTAGGGATTCCTTGAAGCTGCGGAATCGTTTATGTTTGAGGAGTCTTGAGCCAGTTCATGTCCTATTGTGCCCAGAATCAGTCGGATCTGTCAGGGGGCCACCTCTTCCCTGACCGAGCAAGCCTCTTCATGGCTGGTATCGAGGATGCCGAGTACAGGGAAGAGAAGCTGCTGGACATGGAGTGGTCACGGCATGACAAACTGACATGTACAATACGATGCTGTCGGACACTCATCTTGCTTGCGTGAGCTTCGGGGGAGGATGTCGCGATGTATGGACATGCAACAGGTGATGCTCTGTAGACGAGTGGGCAAGGACAAGTGTTGCTGCAGCCAGACAGGGCCAAGGGTAATGTAGGGGCCTTATTAGAATAGGGTTCTGGGGCCCATTATACTATAATGATAATAAGGAACCCCCCAAAATAGTATTGGTAATTATTTAGGCCCCTACAGTAGCAGTTCGGCATGTTCGAGTCTTCGAGCTGGAGCCGACGGAATTTAATCCAGAACACCAACATTATATTAGATTATATTCTATTATATTATATTATGTTATTACATTACATTATATTATATTACATTATATTATATTATGTTATATTTATAGATTATACTATTTATTCTGTATTATATATTATATACGAAGAAGCCTTCGCAGCAAATGGAAGCCCAACAGTGTGCGCGGCCGAGAACCACACATCTGAGAATCGGAAGCTGAGGCTTGGTCAATGGACCCACCTTCGTGGCTTCGACTTTAGTCCGCTGGCAGCGTATGTGCGCTGCTCAGTTGAGGTGTTGGGGTAGGTGGGCCCTCAACCCAGCCTTTGTTTGTTTACTTAAAGTGACGCTTGGGATGAGCATAGCAGGGGTTACCAAGCTTGGGAACTTTCCCACCTCCTGTAAACCGGATACCTACTCAAGCTAGTCAGATGATGACTGGAGCATGTAGAAACTGACAGCAGGCCGGCCTCGATCTTCGTGCCAATTGCGTCTCCGAGCTTGCGTGCGAAATAGCACGGCAGCGGTTTCAATTCGTTTCAATATGCTTTGCTCGGCACCTGCATTCTGGAGATAGTTGCAGCCTCAAGAAGACGAACCTTCAGCATTGATTTTCTGCAGAGCCACATTGCCTGGCAAAGACGACATTCGCTGGCAGCGTCGTCGTCGTGGTCGGCGAATCGTTCTTGTAGCGATTGGAGCAGCAACAGCCGGAGGAGGAGGAGGAGGAGGCCGAGTCCTAGTCTTCGTCGTCGTTCTCTCGCCGAAGTTGTGGAAGTTGTTGCTTCAGCAGCAGCACCTGTAACTGCTGTACTGGCACCACAGAGTTCTCATGGAGGCAACAGTCGCATCCATATGGTTTACAGTCAGAAGCCACAACAGCTGCCCTCACCATCAGGGTCACCAACACTAACACCAGAATTCCATCGCGAAAGGATGAAGTGCTGATGATAGAAGATGTCATGGTGACGTCAAGATCGGAAGGACTCAGGGAGTAGAGCTCATGACGAAGATGACAGCGATTGACAATCGGATGACAAGAGCAATTTGAACGAGCTGCTGCATCCTTCCGCTCATGTTACTGCCTTTTCCCAGCGATCTTTGCAGCGGTCCTTCTAGCATCAGTAAAAGCACTGCTGTTTACCACCACAGTCATGCTCTGCAGCCAGCCGTGCAAGCCACCCTTCTCGCACGAGCAACAGACATGGCAGATGGCGACTCTAGGGACCCTTCAGCTGCGCTGCCAGCACCTCAAGCCCCGAGGCATCGAACACGATGGCTTGCCTGAGTTAGAACAGAGAAGCTGACGATCATGGTGGTCAGCTTTTTTTCCTAAATTCGGGAGGAGTTTATGTTCGCACGGACTTTTGTGAACAGTAGCAATGAGCTAGGACTTCTCTCATGATTGCCAACGTCTCAATTCAACAGTGCCTGCCTTTCCTACATGTTTCGGAAAATCTCACAAGGCCATCCAAGAGCCCATCTCGGACATCGTCGAGCCGCTAGCACTGGTCACAGACACGGCGTGTGTGCGCAGCTCAGGGAGGGCGGGAGCACGGAAGGGCTTGAGGGCCCTGCGATTGAAATCTTGTACTCAAGACACTCATCAGGAGCAGCGTGCATGTGCATGTGTGTGTGTGTATGTATGCATGCATGCATTCAAGCATGCATGCGTGCATGCATGGATTGATGGATGTGACAGCTGTGTTACCCCCCCCCAAAAGAAATGATGCCAGGCTTCTAAAATTCAGACATCCTTGTCTTAGATTCGGGCAGTCGAAAAGTTCTTCAGGGGCAGGTTTACGAGATCGTTTCTAAACCGAGATCCCCACACTGCAAGACACCCAAGACGCTTAGTTATTGGTTCAAGGGTAGCGAGCCTGGCTTCCTCTTCAATACGGGGCAAGGGTCGCACACGACTTTAGGTCCCCGCTACAGTACAGCTGTTGAACCCAGAGGCGTCCTTTACTTCGTTTTTTTTCCCGCCTCATGTCCCCGACAGTCAATGGCTTGGAGTTGGGATGTAGTCTTGTGTCTTCTTAAATGTTTGAGTCTCAAAGTTTGTGTGTTGCCAAGCTCCTCAGTCCTACATCAGGCCAAGATGTCAGGTGGCTCCTAGCACCATACCGGAGCAAAATGTGCTTAGCTTTGCGGACTTGTACACCCGAACCCTCAACTTAACAGGAATTCAGAGCACCTGCCTTTGAGCTTCTTGGAGGTCTTCCAGATGGACCTCAGCGTCGTCAAATGCGTCTCAGCCGCAGACGCAAACTTCAGGGGCTAAGGCCTTTCTAAGCCGATGGTGTAGGTTGCTGTTGATGACAATCTTTGCAGCGTCGGTGAAGTCTCTTCATGATGGTGTTGGCGATGGTTACTCACATCTGGCCGTGAGCTGCTTCTGAAACAACAGGGACCTAGTTTCAAGCAGCCCGAATTTGCTGTCACCTAAATGAAACCTCAGCCTGACTGCACTGCACTGGAGCCTTGGGCAAAGCTTTCTTCAGTGCTTTTCAGAGCGGTAGATGCTTTGTTTGAGAGCGAGGAGTGCCCTGCATCCAGTTTGATATTACCCTAAGGGTAGTGAGGCAAAAGGTACGGTGCAGCTTTCCCCCTAGACACCTGGGTTCCTAGGCTCCTTGGTACACAGGCTCAATGGTTTGTCCTCCGGAGTAGTCCGAAAGCACTCTGCTCCTTCCGGCCCCCAGCACCGCAAGCTCAAGGTCATGAGCTGGACTTCGTGTCGTTCGGAGCCTAGTGACGGTTGCTGGATTCCTATGAGAGTTCTGGGGGAGTCGCTGGATTTCTGCTGTGTCCCTTGTGGAGGGCCTCGAGCACAGAAGCAGCCTATGCAGAAGTGTGTCGTGCCCAGGCCATTTTCGCTGAAGTCTCACCGCCAGGACTTCATCCATGCCTTGGTCCACCCTGCGTGCTTACCCCAAGGCTTTGATTTGCACGTCTCAAATTTCAGTCAGCAGCCCTGGCCTTGAGCCTAAACTCAAACTCTAAACTCTGTAAGCTCTGAAGCTAAGAAAAGTTGAGTCCGTCACGAAAAAGCATTAGGGGAAGCCTTCACATACTGTGAGGCCCTCTGTTGTCCATGACGTTGGAGGCTTCTTACAGTTAGGGTGTCTTCATTAGGGTGCTTGCAATGAGGGTCCCACTGCTGAGGGTCCATATCATGGGTTTTAGGGTGCGCTATTTTGTGACACTCCCCTTTGGGAGTGCCATGAATATCGGACGCCTAGGCTTAGGAGCTGACTGCTTGTTTCCGACACCCCTGGAGACCAGGAAACCGTGCTTGCTTTGGAGACACCTTCATGAGGTGCAGCATCCTGGACGTTAAACCAAGAACCAAGCCTCAACCCCAAGAATCCCTCGAGCCAGTGAGAAGGACCGTTTGGTGAGTGCTTACGGCTTTGAGGCAGGTTTTATGGGACGTAGGGCCCTTTCATAGCAGGTTGTTTGGTTCGACGTCTTCTTCGATGCTGCGCCCGACGCCGGGCACTCAGAAGAGAGTTGCATGGGGGGTTCCACTCTGTGTCAGGGCCCTTGCCACGGATCGTTACCATCACAGTTAATCTCCGACTTCATGAGTTGCTCTTGCATTCGTCCTACAACTCCATCCCGGGATCCATGAAGCCCACCTTTGCATCTACTCGGAGAGGGCGCATGCGCCCTGCAACTGGGGCAGCGAACCTGTCAACCCTCGGGACTCAAGACCTCCACAGGCTAGAGCCCTCAAAGCTCACACCCCAAAACAAATCGCAGCTTTGATATCTTTAACAGGTTTGTTGCAAATGCTGGTATGGCTTCAAGGTTTACAGCGCCATGAGCAGCATCATTCCTATACCCTTGGCCTCATTTCCATCGGTGAAAAAGGCCCTGCCACTTTCCACGGCTCCCGGGCAGCCGGACACCCACTGGAAGCAGACGGCCTCTTGGAGGAATCCCTAAGGCCCTAAGGTTTAGTGCCTCTGAGTTTGGGATTGCTGGTTTGGGGTTTCGGGTTCAGGGCTTAGGGGTTTTGCTCGGTCTATGCGAAGCCGCGAGGATTCAAAGACTCCGACAAGCTGGCGCACTAAGGGCAGGGGTTTGCCAGAAAGATTCCAAAGAGTTCTCCGAGCAGTTTTGCCAGTCATGAGCCCTAGAGAGCCCGAAGCCCGAACCTGTGCGATTCTGACAGCGCAAGCCTTTCATTGCACTGAGGGGATCCGAGCCTTTCGGGTTTGACTTTGTTGAGTTTAGGGGCTTGGGGCTGCGGCCTTCCTGTTTCGGCCTTGGTGTTTAGGGTTTAGGAGTTTAGGGCTCGGGGCTTCCTGTTTCGGCCTTGGTGTTTGGGGTGTAGGGTTTAGGGGTGTAGGGTTTACGAGTTTAGGGCTTCAGGTCTCAAGGGCCATTGGCCGGGCGTGGAGTGGAGTCTGAATCTCAGGTCCTTTACCTTGACGAGCGGGGACCTGAGTTTCTGTGTGTTTTAGCCATAAGCGGCCACAGGAAAGCTAAAACCCTAAACCCTAAACCCTACTGCACTTAAAAAACCCGCTGAACTGAAGAGTCCAGGACAGATTGGCTTCAACAAGTACACCGAGACTCCAAAGCCCATGTGCACTATGGTATGGCTACTTGAAGACAGTAACTTACCAAAAAAACACTACAACAAGGAACTGGGCTTCTAGGTTTTCCAAGAATCTGAACAAGCTGCCCTCGTCGTCAAAAACCAAGAATTCCGATATCCAGGCGCATGTAAGGCACAGGCCTCATCTGATTCACAAACTGCGAGATCTCAGGTTCTTGTCCTGCTCGACTGTGGGCAAGTTGCCATGGGATAATGCACACTGCTTTTCGAAATGTTCTCGCTTAAGCAACAGACGCTCAACATCCGGGAGTTTATGGATAGTCAGAAGCCGAACGAAGCGGAGTTATTAGCACCACAACTGGTGCCACCCCTGCATCATGGCTAAAACAATCCTGCCTTGTACCCTCCAACCTGCAACTAGAAGACACGTGCAAGCTGAAGCAGGCTTGCGCTTATGCGCGACCCCCGGCCCCAGTCTAATATGTAGCTGGAGGCCCCTCGTGGTCTTTCCTGGCGATGTTGTGAGTGGCAGGCTCCGCGGGTGAGCTTGCAAAGTGTCGAAGCGTCAGAATGCTGGCCAAGAGCGCACCGGGCAATCTTCTCCACATTTTGCTGCAGGATGGCAGTCCGGAAGAATGAGCTGAACAACCGAGATCTCGATGTGAAAATCTCGTACCAGCACCTTGGCTCTCACCAGCCGCACTCCTCACACCAGTCTGGCTTGCTCTGTGTAGGAGCCTGACAGGAACTCCGTGTATCCAAATCCTGATGAAGGGTCAGTCTTTCTCCGGCTCGTCTTTTGAAGTATCAGTGGGACCGGTCCGCAGAGCGCCATGTAGGTTCAGGGCTCGTGCTACGGATTCCTGTGCACGTTGTGAAGAACTCTTACAGACTCTTACAGGGCCATGTACCGCCGCACGCCCACCGTCAAATAGGACAAGTCCCTGATCTCTGAAATGCGGGGCACAAGAGCAATCAACTCTCTCCTGTTCCGATCGCGTTACGTACTGTTTTTGAGATGAGAAGCCCAAGCTTCAGACACTTCCATGCGATTACAAGCTCAACTATAAAGGATTGCCTCGCGGACTAAATTGCTAAATCTCCCTAAACCCATCTAAGCCCGAGAGGCCCTAGGCGCCCGCAACTCTAAACCGCAAGCCCCCCAAGCCCCATCATTACAGACCTAAACCATAAAATCCTGAAACGCCGGATCCACAACACATGAAACTTCCCTTTGCTAGTCAGGCTCGAGGGTCGCCTGCCAAAAGCATTGAAGACACAGACCTTCCGAGTCAGGCAGGGATTTTCCGGTGCGTCACTTCAGGGAGTTGGGGTTTATGGACGCTTGGGTTCCCTTTCAGTGAGTCTTATATCCCTCTGCGGCGGGTGCATGTGCCTGTGCCTCTCCCAAGCCCCTTCAGTTGCCGTCATGATGTCAACACGAGTATCTGACCTGAAGCTTCTGGCGTCCTCATGACATGGGAAACCCAAGCCAGAGTTTGGCGATTCATGGTTTTTGGCTTGAGGGCTGAGCTTTTCGGATGCTGAGACAAGTAGATGCCTAGCAGGTAGCAGTTCGCTGAAAGCCGACATACCAACTCCAAAACCACAGTACCCAAGCTGAACCTCAAACATACCACCCTTCTTTCCGCCCCATACCACCCTTACAGAACCCTGGTAGACCCCAACTGCTACCCCCAAAGCGGAAGCCGCGTTGTCCTCGGCAGGTAGGCACATCCTGGACTTTGTTGGCGAATCCTGGACTTCTTCGGGAGACAAAAAAGATGCCTCTCTTTTGCTAGGCTGCTCAGTAGCATACTTTTTTACTTTTTTAGCTCCTGGGTTCCTAGTATATTGCAACTAACCTAAGGAAGTATATACTTTGGTTCAAGGGGTTACTGAAGAGCCTAGATTATTGGAAAGCCATGGAAGGCCATGGCTGTAGAATGGAGGTTTGGATGACCGGCGCTGGTACGGCCGCATTTGCCCGATGTAATCCTTGATATCCCAAATTCCTTGACTATTCAGGCCTTATAAGTACTTCTGGAGGATATGTGATCGCAGAAACGTATTTCAGAGTATGAGTGTGTGTATATAATATATATATATATATATATATAGTAAATAAACTACACGAAGCTAGGCGCGAGCAACAAATAGGAATATGTGTAAATTTTATGGTTTATGGAGAACAGACATACAACTAATTAAGTGGCAAGCATCTGAAGACAGAAATCAGCACTGTCATAACGTGAATGAAAATCAAAGATAAACAACCAAATAGGCAAATACGTACACAAACGTACACGTACGGGAAGCTTTCTATCCATTATCTGTCTGGCTGCCTGCCTGCCTGTCTGTCTGTCTGTCTGTCTGTCTGTCTGTCTGCCTTGTCTGTCCACCTGTCTCACTAGCTCGCCATCTAGCTATCTATCTTTTGCCTGTCTATCTATCTGTCTATCTATCTATCTAGCCATCTACCTATCTCTCACGCCCTCGCTCTCTCTCTCTCTCCCTCTCTCACTGTCTCTCTCTCT